AGCAACGGGTACTTACGGACACTTTCTGACTAAACACAGGCAGGTCCTAGACCTTCTAGGAATGGGTGGGCTGTAAACGTGTGGGGTCACAGCCCAGATCTGTTCAAGGCCATCCCTCCACAGGAACGAGCCAGGCTTCATTCTTGGTGCTGTGGAGCTGAACTGCGAGTCTGGTTTGCACCAAGGCCGTTTTCTTGCTGAAAGGAGCAAGGCTAATAGAGCACAGAAGGACGCACTGGGCAGAGGAGTTTGGAAGCCTCAGGCATTGCTGGGCCTTTTAAGCTGAGCAGATGGGAGGCAGCCCAATAGGCCTCAGGCCGGGTGGGCTGGTGAGCCCGGGGCGTTGTGCTGGATGTCCAGCAAGATCTTCTGCACTGTGTCCATGGTGGAGATTCCCCTCCCGTGTGAAGGGAGAGGATGGCGGGAGGACAGGAGACTCTGGGCCTCTTCAGTCTGGGTTCACCCAGGGAACTCTGGAAGCACTTGCTGGTCTCTAGTGAGCCTTCATAGACGCCTGCCATCTGCCCCAAATGGCCGGAGACAGGGGAAATAGAATCCATGGATTTTTCAAATCCAGAAGGAAGGGAAACTCCACCCAGGAAACATAAACCCAAGTACAGTGCTTGGAAGCAGGATGTTTAATTGCCAAACCTTTCTTGAGACCCAGCTGCTGGGTAATGTTATCTCAGAGGCTCCTGAGGCCAGGGGAGAGTTTATCTGGGCTCCTGACGCAGGCTCGTAAACAGAGCTGGCTTTCGTGATGACCTCTGCCCTGTCCCCCTTCCCTGTCACCTGCTCTTTCTCTGCAGTTTATCTCTAAAGTTTCTAGTGCCGGCAGCTTCAGCTCAGGGAGACTTGAGAAACTCTGGTGTTGGCGTATGGAGATGAGGAAAGGGTTGGACTAGAATTTTGTGTATCCATTGCTCATCTGGAACAATAATCTAGGATGCTCAAGGTTTGGAAAAAGCAGATGAGTATCCTGCCAAGATGAGAGAAAGGATTCTGGAGACTGTCCACGTATCTCTGGGCTTGTCTCCAGGGAGGTCTCTGATTGTTTTCTCAACCCAGGATTTAGATCGTTTGTCCAGGAGGGTAGGCTGGGGGGCCTCTGGCAAATTGCAGAAACTTGGGGGAAGCTGGGAATGGGGGTTCACTTCCCAACCCCCCATACCTGAGTCCTGCTCATGCCTGCTCAAGGCATAGAAAGTGGGATACAAGATTGCTAGCAAGAGCAATCCTTTCCCAAACCAGGAAAGACTTGCTTTTGGGGGAATTATGACTGTGTCCTGGCTGTGTGGCTGTGGCTGTGGCTGTGGCTGAAGAGGGCACATGGACAACCCTCTGTCACCCCTCCCTCTGGCTGGTTCTCCAGAGGGGTGCCTTTGATGTGGGTTCAGGTCAAGGGTTACACAGAGATGACTCCCTGTGCATTTTCAACTATTTTGAAGCATAAAATGCAAAGGACTTTTCCAAAGGGGGCATGCTCTGGTCGTACACAAGATAGTCCTAAACTAGGAATTGGAGGTCTGGTTCCTATCCCAGCTCTGCACTACAGGGTGAGCACACTGCAGTGATAACGTGCAGGCATCAGTCCTGGCAGCCCTGAAGGTTGTGCCCATCGTATAGAGGAGGAGCCTGGTCTCACAGCCACTAAGGAGGGTGCTGTAGAATCTGCTCCTTCTCACCTGGCCACACCCCTTCCTTGCAAATCACCACTCTGGGCCCTAGGTTTCTCCTCTACAAAAGGAGAGGCCGCCCTGGATCCTCCCAGCTGCTGGGGTTGTGAGCCTGTGATTAATTCTCTCTGGGAGGTGAAGGGAAGCCCCTAATTACTGGAAAGGATGGAGGATGGGTGTGTTAAGCCCCAGTTAAGCCCGTCCTCTGGGCTCTGCTTGGTTGGCTCAGAAGAAAGGCTGCTGTCTAATGTCCTGCAGGCGAGTGCAGGCTCTCTGTCTCCAAGGAGAGCTAGGAGACTTGGGGCCTCCTTACCTTCAGCTGCTGGGGCGAAGGTCAGGGAGGCAGCACCTGGCACGTGCACAGCGTCTGCTCTCTGCCCTGGGACTGGGGGAAGGGGAGATGCAGGTTGGGGAAGGGGAGATACAATGGGGAGGCAGCAGGGGGAATTTGGCAGGTTATAACCCCGTGAAAGTCCCAGAGCATCCCACCAGTCAGTGAAGCCAGTCGTGTATGAGGCTTTCCTCTGCGTTATCTGGCTTTGTAGCATTCCTAACCATTGGCTTCTGTCTGGGCCCCTGAGTTCTGTCTCTTCTTGGTCTCGGGCTCTCAGAATTGCCTTTACTTCCTTTTACTCCCCCAGGGACCTTGAGGCTCACTCCCTGAGCAAGTACTGCACAGATTTCACGCCACCTAAAGCTTTACTTAAAAAGGTGTCATTCTGTCCTAAGCAAGTATTTGATTTAAATATCCACACTCCTAAATTTACATATAGGGAAGTAGTCCAGGGTGGTTAAGAGCACGGGGATTAGACTCAGCTGGACCTGGGTTCAAGTTCTTTGCTCTGTGTTTTATTAGCTGTGTGACCTCAGGCAAGTTACTTAGCTTCTCTGAGCTTCATACTGTGTAGGGGGATCACCTCATTGGGCTGAAGATTAAATGAGCTGATGCATCTAAATGCTTTCCAGTGTTCTGGCATCTAGTAATATTTAGTTACCTCAACATTAGGTAACATTTTGTTATCTAAATGGTTTTATAATTTATGGTATGAGATATACATTTACATAGGATATAGAACAAAGCACATCCCTATTTATTATAATAATAGTCGACAGTTTATTTTGAGCTTGTGAGGCTAGGGATGACTTTTTACTTTATGTTCTTCCTCATCAAGGTCACATGCTGTAAATACCCATCTCTGGGTGGCAGCACTCAGTCCTACTTGCTTGGCTTTGTGGCCTTCTTCTCGGTTGCATTTCAGAACAAACACTGTCCACAACATTCAGCCACAGGAGGGGAGAAGGGACTGCATTCAGACTTCACTTCCTTGTCTGTTAACTGAGCAGCCAGGCACAAAGCCTCACCACTCCTGTGCACAAACCCTGCTCCAGGCATCTGGGAAGTCAGCCGGTCCGATGCCCCAGGGTGTCTAAATACTGCTCATCTTTGCTGACCTTCCTCCTCCTCACTGCAGCTGAGACCCCCGGCTTCTCTGGCTATTTTGTTTTTCTCACTGATACAGACCCCCCACACCTACAGAATCAGAATCACTAGGCAGAGGCCCAGAAATATGAATTTTTACAAAGCTCCCCAGGTGATTCTGATGTGCATCCTGGCACAGGAACCACCACTGGGGACCTACAGCCACTGCTTCTCTCCTGAGGGAGGAGACGAGGCAGAGGTCTCACCTGTGTCCCTTCAGTGTTCTTAACCACGTACCTGCAGACATCAGCACAGGCACCAGGCAGACCTTCAGCGGGATAGCCCTGAGTCTGTGGGAGGGAACCCTGCCCTCTAACTCAGGCCACTTCCAGGAGGGACAAAAATAGTGAGAACAGCAGGCCCAATTATGTGGACAGGGGGCTTTCTCTCTTACCACTGCAAAGCCTGATGGAACCCTGGGAACTGAGAGTCTGGCCCTGAAATGCCTTCATTGCAAGGTGCCCAAAGAGAAAAGTTTTCAAATCTTCCATGGGCTGACATCACTCCTGCCAATCTACTTCTCATCCAGAGGACCCGTTTGGTTGTTCAACACAGCGGGATGTTTTCTGAGCACCTGCTCTGTGCCTGGTACTGAGCTAAGACTTAGGGACACGGAGATGAATCACACATCTCTGAAATGCTATGGTCTCCTGAAGTGTTCTTCAGAGTCCTGAGGACTGACCGCAGCAAAATAACCTGGGATTTGTTAAAAGTATACATGTTCGAGCCCCCAAAACACAGGTCTACTTATGCAGAATTTTGGAGACTGGGGCCCAGGCATCTGCAATTTTGGAAGGCCCTTTATGGAATCTCGTTCACTCTAAAATTTGAGGACCAGTGGAAATTAGCTACCTAAAAAAAGAAAGAAAGAAAGAATGCCCCCAATTTTATGTTCATTGTATAAAATACATGTAAATAAAGAGAAGGAAATTAAAACCACTTGTTTTAGTCCTACCCTCCTAAGATAATCAGCTTAGCATTTTATTGAATGGCCCTCTAGATGCATGTGCTTGTGTGTTTATTTAGACATATATTGTAGCATCCACATGGTACCTGACACTGTGCTAGGTCCTGGGGACAGAAGAGATGAGAAAAAGAATGGTCCTGACCATGGAGTACCTGCAGCCATATATATACTTGACTTTCATTACCAAAGGGTTTTATTTTCATTCACTCACACATTTATTGTCAGCATGATAGGAAAAGCAAAGGATATCTTGGCAAGGCACTGAACAGAGTCCCTCATGCTGTCCATGTGGTCACAAGAGAGAGACATAAGCAGGGGGATGCTCCATGAAGTGATATTTGTAACAGTACAAACAGTTTTGCCCCAGGAGCTGGAGGAGGGGGTCGATATCAACCTGTCCCTGGTGGGAGCCATGGGACTCCAGTCCAGTCACTGAAGCATCAGAGGAAGCACAGAGTGGGAAGGACAGCACCATATGAGTAGAGTATGCCATTGGCACTTGAAGATGCAGCAATGGAATGGGCTACCTTGGGAGGGAGGGAGTTCCCATTCATTGGGAGTATTTAAGCAGAAGCTGGTTCTTAGTCATTTTCTTTTCTGAATGTTACTGAAGATTCCCTGCCTGCTCTGGCCCCTTTCAGCTCTAAGATTCATGTATAGTTCTGGAGGCTGGAAGGTCTAAAATCGAGATCCAGCAGGGTTCAGTTTCTGGTGAGGTCTCTCTTCCTGGCCTGCAGACAGCTGCCTCCTTGCTGTGTCCTCACATGGAGAGAGCTGCAGTCTTGTGAAAAGAGAACAGTCATGTGAAATGATGCCTGGCACAGCTCGAAGCCCAGCCTTGGCTGCCTGCTCACCTGCTCTTACCTTTTCCCCACAGGTGTACATCATCAACGTGACCTGGTCTGACTCCACCTCCCAGACCATCTACCGGAGGTACAGCAAGTTCTTTGACCTGCAGGTGAGTTGGTTGGAGCTCAGATGGTGGCCTTATCTCTCTGGTGGGCTGGCCTCTCTCATGTCTTCATTCTGCCAGAGAGCCCCCAGCAGACCAGTCAGGTCGAAGTTTAGGTTGGAGCAGAGGGACAGAGGAGAGAAGCTCAACAGTTAGAGCTGGGCTTCTTTCAGTCTTGGATATTGCAGGCAGACACTCGCGGCTTTGTTGGCTTCCTCAGATGGTCTTAACAGTCATGCTTTGTCATCCTCCTTTGCCTGGGAGGTAGGAAACCATGGTGGAGAGGAGGGAGACCGGCTGTGGGTGCTGTGTTCCTTAGCAGACATGTGTCTATAAACATCCAGGGTGAGACACAAGCTGCCATATCATTGCAGGCAAAGAAAAGCAAACACACAGAGAAGACTGAAACAAAATAAGCAATTTCTTGAACTACAGACACAAACTGGGCATACCCCTGTGTCTGTCTAACTGAATAAGGCACTTGCCACCCAGTGTGTACATGTGTATGGTAGGTGTGTGTCTCTGATACACACAGGCATGTTTACACAGTGGGGCTGGTAGCATGGATCCCACAGTTACCACTGCAGATACCCCCATTTTGCCAACTAATTTAGTTAGGCTTCTTTCTGTTACAAAGGACAGTTTTACACTCACACTGGCTTCAACAAAAAGGAGACTTACTTGGAAGGAGGATATACCAGGGAAGCTTGTGCAGGTGACCGGTTGGTGAGAAGGCAGTGAGGCAGGGGGCTTCAGGAATACTGAAACCAGGACCTGCTCTGCCTCTGTCTTGGCTCTGCTGCCCTCTGGGCACTGTCCTCAGCTTGTTACCTCATACCCTTAGGAGCTTGGCTATCAGCAGCTCTAGAATCTCATATCTTGTGGCTCCCAATAGCAGAGAGACTAACTCTCTCTCACTTCCAAGCAGAAAAATCCCAGGGAAGATTCTCCTTGGCCTGACTTGGTCAAGGTGCCCTCTCTGGACTAATCGATACAGCCAGGGGTAGAGGGTCATATAGCACAGACATGGCCTCTATGGGGCCCCCTGTGTATCTGAGGCAAGTACCAGAGAAGGGAGAATCATTGTGAGTCGGGCAGCAACCCCTCCTAAACCAGGAAGGGAAAGCCAAAATGTTCTAGATTCTTCCTGAGAGCTGTGAACCTGATTTAGGCTCAAGCAAAGAAGAAACCCCAACTCCTAGACCTCACAACCAGGGTCCATTCTTTCCTTCATGGGATTTTGGTGGCGAGTCATCTTGGAAAGGCCAGACCTGCATGTTTGCTCCCTAATACCTGATTTTATCTCATTGTCCTTATTCTACCTTTGAGACAAGCCAAAGGTGAGCAGCTTTCTGTATTATAAATCCTCTCTTAAACCAACAATGTGGGATTGAAAGCCATTCCTTACCCTCCTGCCTTCTTCATCTTCCCCCCTCAATTCCTGTCCAGTCTCCTTGGATCCTTTTGGCATAAACTGGTGGGCTTTGCTGATACCCCATCAATGGGTGCAGTGTGCTGGACAGGAAATGATAACTCGGTTGGGGAGAGGGAACCCTGAAAGGACTCATTGATGAGCTGGAGGGGATCCGAAAGTCAGTGGAAACTTCCAAATCAGAACTTTTCTTCCCCCCTTCTGTTCTGGTTCCCCACCCCCTCCTGAGTTACAGAATCTCACAAGAAAGGAATGCTCTTCCCCCCACCTCTCCCTTGCCTGGAAGGCGAGTTTCCTGTGTGTTGGGAGGGGACACACACATGGGCAGTGGCTTGTGCCATTTGTGGCCTTAGCCTTGGAATGGCCATCAGCATCTATGTGGGTCATTGCCACCCCGTAGATGCAGTTTGGGAAGGGGTCGGAATGGGTCTTTGGAATTTAACCTTTGAGCCAAGCATAGCATGTCTGTGAACCCATCTTATGTGCCATAATGACTTTTAGTGGCATTTGTGTTGGGAAGCCTTTCTTATTTGCTTGGGTCACTCATTTTAATATGGCGGCTCCTATGGAGGAAGAACAGATAGTATTGCTAACTCCACCTCTGGCCACTGGTGGGCCTCAGACCTCAGCTTTCCAAGAGGCTGTGTGAGAGAGAGTGGCTAAGATTTTAGGCCCTGAGGACACATTTGTTGGGACTGGTTGCTGGCTCTGTCACAGTGTAACAGGTATTTTAACTTCTCTAGGCTCAGTTTTCTCATCTGTAGAATGACGATTCAATTAGTCTTCACCCAGCAGGGTTGTTAAGAGGATTAAATGAGCTAATCCAGTTTTTCCTGACACTTAGCGGCCTAGTGAGTCACCTGATGTTACCAGGTGACGCTGGCCGTGTGGTTGGAGGTGTCTGGGGGCTCAGGGCCTGCTCTCTCGATGTGGTTTAGCTGTTTCCTCACTGGCTCCATCCTGTAATGCTGAGCTGCTCTGTGCTCAGGCCTGTGTCAGAGTGCCCAGAGTCGAGTGGCCTTGGGCTCCTCTCTGGCGCTTGCCTCTGGGCTGGGCAGGAGCATGTTGGGAGTGGGGGTGTGCCCCAGCAGGCTGCTCCTTCCCTTCTTTGGCTGAGCCCCACCTTGGGACCCTCAAGGCACAGGCTCCCTTAGCCAGCCTGGGGGGGGTTGCTGACCTGGCTTCACCAACTCATGGTCTGGACCTTCTGGGGACCACAGACCCCTCCTTGAATCTGGAGGAAGCCCTCTCCCCAGATAAAGAGTCCATATGTACAATTTTACTTACAGTGTCAGATGTTTACAGAACCCTGTGGACACCCCGTGAAGAACCACTGAGACAAATCAGTTTAGATCCTGAATCATACATTCACATCTGGTACTACTTGGGCACCATTTGGGGGTCTATACGTGACATTCAGATAGTGGCAGGGGGCCTGGACACCTCCTTGATAGTCTCCTGGGTCCTCCCTCCTCCCACGAGTTGGTAGCCTTGTCCCCAGTGTGGGTCTCCCCATACTTTCCCTCTCTTATTCTCCTTCTTCTGCTAGTGTCTTTTGTTCTTGGTGGGGGTCAGGTTCTCATGAGGAGGCACCTTGGTTTCCCACCTCTCTAATATAACCTGGGAATCAGGTGCAAAGTGATATGAAGTGGTCCCTGACCCTCCCCTGGCAATGAGTTGAGGGCCATGGGGTACATGCAGATCCAATTTCATTTGGAATAGCACCAAATGAAATATTCAGATGGAATAGCACCTCCATTTCTTCCTCTGAAGAGCAAATGGGGACATGGACATCTGTGCCCTGCCCTTTGTGCTCTGCAGCCGTGAGGCCAAGAAGCATTTGAAGGGTGCTCTGTCATAGATCTGAGCAGAAAGCCCAGCACAGCACGCCACCCACCACCCCATGTCCTGTGTGCAAACTAAGATTTGAAGCAGAACATCCTTCTGGGTTATTATCTTCAAAGCTTCTTCCAGGACCTAACTGCGCTGTGTGGAGCTCTCAGGAAATCCCTGGAAATGAATAATCTCAGACACGCCAGGGCCACGAGCTCTGAGGGAATGACAGGCAGGAGAGAGGCAGGAGCCAGAGGGCTTGGGCTTGGAGAAGAGCCAGTGTCCCTTTGAGGTGACCCATGACATTAATGAGTTCTCTACAAGGTACTTAGAACTCTGGTGGCACGTTAAGGAGCTATTCGTGGGGAGTGGGAGAAGTCAAGATTGGGGAGGGAGGGGAGAGAAACTACAGATCACCTGGTAACTGCTCATTCCACACTTATCTGAAGCCTTAGGACGGAACAGAGCAGATTCTTTTATCTCCGTGTCCGCCACACCGCCCCCCGCCCCTCCCATGTTTTTCATTTACAGGCCACTTGCTAGTTGTGAGGTACTGGGATCAGGGTTGCCACATAAATGTGAGTTGCCCAGTTAAATTTGAATTTCAGATAAGCAACGAATACTTTTTTTAGTATAAGTATGTCCCTAAGGTTGCATGGGACCTACTTACGCTAAAGAAGTTATTTGTTGTTTATCTGAAATTCAAATTTTACTGTGCATCCTGTATTCTCACTTGCTAAATCTGGCAGCCCTGCCCTGGCTGTGAGAGTGAGTGGTGAGTGAGGGTGGAAGTAAAAGGTGAATAATCCAGAATAAGAGTGAATTGGCCTGTGCTCAGGCCTTCAACACATATCTTCCACCTTGAGCCTCCAGACCCAGTGGTTCTGCCTCCTCCACACACCAGGGGCTACATGCTGAACCCAGCACCTCTTCCTGCCCTCTTGGAAGCCCCAGGTATGGGAGCTGTCCAGTGTGTTAGCCACTAACCACATGCGACTATTTAAATTAATTTAAATGTTTTTAAATTAAAATTTTAAAATTAAGTTAAATTTAGATTTTTAGTTTTTTGGTCAACACTACATCAAAAATGCTCAATAGTCACAGTGGCTGGTGGCAGTGTATTGAGCCGATAGACAACATTTCTATCATCACAGTAAGTTCTATTGGATTGTGCTGCTTTAACCATCTGGAGCACACAACAGGCTGGATCTGGCTTCATGCCCACCCAGAGTGCTCTGCCACCCTCCCAGCCCCTCCCCACATTGCCCCATAAAATCTAGGGCCCCAACAAGAAGGAAACTATGTTCCTGCAAGATTTTCCCCATCCATAGAGCATTTCAAACCAGGTCAGTTTCCAGAGAGGGCTTCTAAGAGCATTTCAGATGTCAAGTTGGGAACAGGGAAGAGGTGAGGCTCTTGATCTCCAAGTAGAAATTGATTTCTTCTAAAAATAACTCACTACTCAGCCCTATCTGACTAGGAAAGGGACCTGTCCCAGAGGGAGCCCACCAGGACAGGCCTAATATTGAGGCTTGTTTGGTTATAACGGGCTGGGTTGCTGGAGGTGCAGTTAAGGGGGGAGGGAAGGAGGGAGGAGTCGTAGACGCCCTTTTAAGTTGCCTTGTCATTGGTGGCTGGACTCATTTTTAGCCCCTGTCAATTTCCTTGCACAGGTCCTTCACTGCTGAGTGTCTGCCCCTGCCCTGGTCCCACCAAGGAAGGACCGGAAGGCTCTTGAAGC